GACATGTTTCTGTGCATAATGAATAGCGAAGATAAGACCAGCGGAACTACAATTGCGAAGACAATAATTGTAGGTTAATAATCAAAACTGATTTCACCTACTCCTATTATGGCCAAAAGTCTATTATTTGAGAAACAAATAATTATTCCATAAATTCGCTAATTATAATACACATAATTGTCCATTTTTATACTTTTTGTTTACTAACTGGCACCGCATGACGAGAAGTTATATGCATTGCTGAAATATGGTAAGCCCCAACCGTTTTTTTACTCTTTATCCATTAAATCAGAGATCTACGGGAATCGTGATAAACATTAAAATTTATGCAGTAGATGCATGCCAAGAAAATATCTTTATATAAAATTATGCATTCTACTGTATAATTGCAACTGATCGTGATCACTTGTTTATACACCAAACTCTTATATGGTAAATGCGACACCATCACTTATTGTAAGTATCCGTTATTATTAAATACAAAAATGATGCACTCGTCTACGAAAGTCAAATGATACTGTAGTTGAACTTTCCAATACTAATGTAAGAATGAAACCTTGATTTCAAGAATGTGGATGCGAAAACATATTCCGCAACCGATAAAATTCGGGACATACTGCATGTTACTAAATAATGAGGAAAGGCAAATAAAACACTCTTTGAAAATGATTGTAAGTACTGTAAAGGGCATGATATGCACACAAAATGATCCTTGAAACATTAATATTCTTGTATTCCCCAGAGTTTCTATAGCATATATAGTAAAATCATAAGTATAGTAGATGTCTCTCTGAGAATACACTATCTGAACAAAAGTAGTGCACATAATTTCACGTAATAACTTTATTTGAAAATTTGAGTATATCATATTTTATATAATAAATATCTATTTATAACTGTTTTGTGTTAGTTCTTCTAATTCTTTTTTTATTTCTGCTATTCTTGATATACAGTATTTACCTCCTTTTGTCTTTTAATAGTTTATTGAATTGTTCTTCTACTTCTTCGATCATTTATTATTTTTAATGATTATTCCCATTCTTCGTAATATATTTTTTATATAATTTATGAATTTATTTTTTGAAACTTTGTTTCATTCTTCTTATGATGCAATTTTTTAATTTTGCAAAGATTTTTATTTATTTCTTTCTTATTTCATATTTTAATTCAAAAAACAAAAATAATTAATTAGACAAAATTTTGATCTTATTTTTAACTTCCATTATTAAACATATAAATTAAAGTATTATTATTTTAAACCAAATAATGTCTATAATCTAAATTATTATAATAAGTGGCATCAAGTATTTAAATATAATATATTTTTAGTTTTATTACTTTATATAACAACTTTTTTATTTTTGAATAATTTCATTTTTTTTTTTAACATATCATTTTAAATAATTTTTCTTGTTGATCAATTTGTATGTAAAAATATATTTATTTTATATAAAATTTTTTTGTTTGTAATTTGTTTTACAAATTAATTTATTAGTTTTTTTTTAAAAAAATTTTTTTAAATATACATATAATTTTAAAACATATAAAACTTTTTTTAAGTAAAAATAATTTTTATAAAGATCAATAATTTTATTATTTTAATTTTTAATTAAAAACAATGTATTTTTGAAATAAAAAATAATAAAAGAATAAATATATTTTCTAAATAATAATAAATTTAAAATATATAATATTTTGTTATGTAATATACAGTATGTAACAAAACTTTTTGGAATTTTTTATTTATTTGTTATTCAAAAATTATTGCATAAAAATTAATAAATATTATATAAAAATAAAGCTTAAAATCTAGAAATTACAATAATATAAATATTATATAAAAAATAAGTTTTAAAATTTTTTAAAATTAAATTTTTTGAGTATTAAAAATTGATTACAAATAAAAATTTTTTTAATTTAATATATAGATTTTTTTCTTTTTAAAAAAATTTTATAATTTTTGAATTTTAAAGCTTTTTTTTTTATAATATTAAAAATAAAATAGAAAATTCCATAACTTTATAAATTTAAATACAATAAACTTAAAAATTAATTAATAATAAATATGATATTATATCTTTTTAATAAAAAAATTTTTTTTTATATTTTAATTTACAATTGCTCAAAATATTAAAATTTTAAAAAAAAATTCCAAAAAGTTTTGTTATACACTGTATATATACAATATTAAAAACTTTAATAAAAAATAATTTATTACAATAATAAAACTTAATAATAAATTTAAATAAAGATTTAATATTTTGAAATATTTATATAATATATTATATAAAATAATAATCATATTTTTTATTTATAATTTAATAAATAATTAAAATTATATTATTTTTTTTAACTATAAAAATAATTATTAATTTTTTTTATATTTTGCTAAAAACGTTTATTAAACAATAATTAAGCTGTTCTTCTAATTTCTATAACTAATATTTTTTATAATAAAATTTTATTAAATCATAAAAATTTGTATTTAATCTATTTTCAAATGCAATTATTGTTTTTCTAAAAATTTTTATAAACTTTAAATAAAAATTTTAAAATAAACTTGTTTATTAATTATTAATAAATATATATGCCTATTTTTTATTATATAAAAATATTTTTTTATAATTCAAATATTAAGATGTTAATTTTTAACAAAAAATAACTTTTAAAAATTTTAAAATATCTAAATAAAAAAATTATGAAAAAAAAAATAATTTAATAATTTATAATTATTTTTTTAATGCCATAAACTAGAATATGAAAACTATTGTAGGCCCATAGCTCTAAAGATTTGTATTGTATTTATGTCATTTGAGCCATTTAATTAATAAACTTTAGCATTTTTACAGTAATTTACACAAGTATAAGGTCCTTTGCTTCGCCCGGACAAAAAATGTTGCAATCAATCGATTCATTATAAATCAATATCTGTAAATATTTGATAAATAATACACTGTATTTAACAGATACAATAATTAAATCATTATAAATGACACACCGCAATTTATTAGGCAATGTGTAATTTGGAATTTTTTTATACTAATATTTTTAGCCGATAAGTAACAATAATTACATTTCAAAATTATTTTATTTTATTTTCGTACGGCGGACACCTTACGTGACACGCGATAAATTAGGTCTTGCTAATCTGTGAAACAATTGATATTTATAGTATAGTATGAAAGCGATGATTTATTTTAGATTTCGGACATCTTCGCTAATGTGCTATTGGTGTCTAGTGTGATATATTGCATGCCATTGGACTTCGGAACTCGGAATTCATGCATTCTCCTTTGTTATGTAATAATGCATGACAATGAAAAATTTGTAACCTTCTATCATTTAATGTTTTTCATGTTACAGTGCTAATAGGAACCGGAGGTATAAGGAGCAGTTATTGTATTGATAGAAAAAATAACATATGAATGATTAAAGACGATCATTTATTTACAACTCATTATTTTATTTTTGATATTAAATAATATAATTAAAAAGAAAAAATAGATATTTTAAATTAGTAAGGTATCTGATAAAATGCAAAGAAGGATCTATTTAGATTTTATTTTTTTAGGGCACAAATTTCTCCAATCCGACGGTGGACTCAGTTTCTTAATTTCATCAGGTGATTCTATGAATTGGGCTAACAATCCTACTTCTAAATGCCACTGTATCGTGCATAAGAAAAAAAAATGGTTGGTTAATTTAAAGGTGGAATGGTCTTTGAAAACGTGATATTTACCTCTATGTGACAATGGAATGCCCACACGCCAGGGTTGTCAGCTATAAATCTTATTGCGAGCCACCTATTTATTGTCCATGAAAGATACAGTTAAACCATTATATTTATTGGGACAAAAAAAAAAAGGATAATCACCCTTGAGCAGGTACAGTGGTAGTGTCTCTTGATAACGGATCCACGGTATTAAACTCTGATATTTTAATTTCCATACCATTACCCGTTGCCAATATCCAAAATTTATGACCGTGCTTTTAAATTTTTATAAAAAAACAGAAACTTTAACTCTTAATCTAAGTATATGTTGGTGCCTAAGAATAATGCAAAAATTCCATATTATCAATAAATTGTTAGAATTAATTTACCAAATGGAATGGATGTTCGCCATCATCGGTGTCTATTAAATACTTGTTAATTGAATTATTATATTAAATGCATTAAAACTTTACTATACAATACTCAACTGATTAAGTGTATATCGACTACTTGCTTCTTCTCAATATAATAAACATTTGCGTCAACGGAAAATTCCTTCTTTCCATTAAAAACTTCCAGTAAGGTAGGGTCATACGGTTTAATCGCGTATGATGAGTTATTAATGAATGCCCTATTATAACCGTCAGAGTTATTTTTAAATTCTACCGTAAATTTAAACGTTTTATCTGAATCTGGGATTTTCTCTGGGCAAAGCGGTTTCATTATGCTCCGCGCCACGTTGCGGCGTGGCGATGGCAGAGCTCCCCGGCGCTGG